CCCCCCTTTCCCCCCCCCCCCCCCCCCCCCCCCCCCCCCCCCCCCCCCGCCGACGATGCGGCACACGCGAAATTTACACGAATTAATTAGCTCCGTCCACTCCGGCCGGGCCGAACACTTTCGAAAGAAACTTTCGACCCCTCGGTAACCGACAAAAACCGGTCGAACGAAAACTTCGGGACGACTGGCGTGCACGAGAATGGGCAAATAAAATGTAAATATCCGCGAGCGGGTGCATTATACGCGACGAGGCCGGGTTCGGAACGGGAGCCAAGTTGCCTCCCCGCTGGATAATCAAAGACAACGACGACGCTACACCCGTATAAATAGTGTCCTCGGCGGACGTTCTCATACGTCTTCGCAATTTACTCCATTGTAATCTTCAATCTTACCCTAATGATCCCTGCTGGGCTCTGCCTAGGCATCCTGCCAACTTGTCCGTTTCTATTCACCGATTCTCTAAATTTCACGCCTCCCTGCCTCCATCGCTATAACTCTTCCCTCTATCTCGCGTGTTCCACCTTCAAGGCCGGTGCAACAACCTTCATCCCTTTGTTTGGGCCTTCTGCTCGAGGGGGCGCCACGGATTTCCCGCGTAAATCGTATCCTGGAATTAAAGTCGGCGCTCGCCGGTTTCCCCGCTTTCCGCTCGCTTATTTTCGTGCAGGCGATCAGGAAGATCATCGTTGTCCCTATTGGCCGACGTGGTCCCTCTGAGGCTTGGCGGTCCCGTTCCGAGGCGTCGATTCGACGCAGTTTCTCGCTTTTGACCGAGGCCCGGAAACGGGTCGGCGGCCGGAAGGCTGCCGTTAATTTCGCAACGTCCAAACGGGAACGAGTCGCGCCCTGCCTTGCACGGCGATCCCGCTGTCATTTCCCGGACGGACGTTAAAGCGTAGAAATGTTTTATGGCACCGGCGGCCATTATCTGCCAATTTACGATCCTGCCGCGTGTCGTCGATGACTGCCTCGAAGTTTGCCATAACCTCGCGAGTGTCTCGAGACCAGAAGAGTGCTCGCGGAGTGTTTCCTCTCGTGGCACTCTCGAGCGTATTGTCGCGCGTCAAAGAAATCGCTGGATGCGTTCTTCGTTGGTCAAGGATCATCGTGCGACGACTCGGATCACGAGTGCCAGGGGAGATTGCAAGCTCTCGAGCCACCTGTTCTGCACCGGTGGTGCAGCATCGAACGCGTATCGAATTAAAGAGGAGAACGAGCCACGAAGATGCTCGAAGCCACCCCCTCGCGTGTCGATGGGCGCGCGAGCAAGTCGCGAAACGGTTCGCCGGTACGCGGTTGAAACAGGCAGCTGCAGGGCGAGACAAATAAACCATCCACGGCGTTCCAGCCGATCGATTCGACGCAAATAACCGGAATTAATCGAACTGCGCTTTGGCTTTTAATCGCGACAAGAGCCGGCTTCGCCCCGTTATAAGAGAGACGAAACGCAGCCCTGGGGGGATATTCCTGCCTCCAAGACGAATGTCATCAAAGCGATTGCGAGGCTCCTTCCTCTCTCTCTCTCTCTCTCTCTCTCTCTTCTCGCCCCTTTTACCGTACGGAGATTACTCGACGATCGCGCAGGATAATCTAAATAATCATCGTCTGCAGGGAAAACGCGATTCCTTGATGGCGGGCAACCCCTTCGTTAAAACGGTAGTAACGTCATCGAGGAACCTGGCCCGAGGCGAGTCCCGCGTCGATCGATTTCGGCTATTAATGCCTCTCTGTCTCGCCTAACGACTTTATCCGACACGCTTGATAAGGAACTTCCTCGACACGCTTGTCTCCCGCCGTACGAAAGAAGTTAATCGTCCGTTTCACAGCGCCGCCACTCGGCCAACTTTTACGCTGCCCTCCCCGATTTCCCGGTGTAACGTAACTAGCAACGGACCATCGAATCGAAGGCAAATGGCCAGGTAAAAAGGCTATCGATTTCGTGCTCCCTACGTTTCGTTCGCGTCCAGTCTCGTTTCGCTTGAAAATACATTCGGGTATTATTATTCCCCGCGCCTCGCGCGGATCGCGAAAAACACGGTTAACGCGCGCTGTTTTCCACGAGCGTGGCATTGTTTAAAGAGGAGCCGCGGACGTAATCGATTTCCAGCGTGTTAACGATTTCCTGCCGGTAATCAAATTCCCGGCAGCAGCTTTTTTCCATCGCCGCGCGATAATGGAGCCGGGGCACGGTTTATGCAAATGCGATCGTAATTCGGATTTTTCATTGAATCTCGCGAATTCGTTATTCGAGGAACGTCACCAAGTAGCGCGAAATTCCGCGTTTCCGGTAAATCGAACGGAAATTAAATCCCATGTACGGGGATAGCAAAGGCAGGTTATCCGAAGACGCGATGGACCGGGTACGAAATTTCATTTCGAATTATGGGAAAATAATCCGCTGGCTTGTTTCGCGTTGCGGACTCTAGGCTTGCTCTTTGTTCGATCCGTTTACATTAACCTTGCGCAAACGGAAGACGCTTAACGAATCTGGCCACGCTTTGAGCACGCGTTTCATCAGGAGGCAAGGGGTCGTCGGCGTCCTTTAGCCAGGTAAACACGCGAAAATTCGCCGGCACCGGCGGGAACCGACGAGAACTGGGCGATATAGTTGCGGAAACTGTTGGCGCCCGAGTGCGCGGTTTCAGTTCAATAATAATTAGACTAAATATCGAGCCGAGGGAGCCCGTGTGCCGCAAGTTTCTGATTTACCGGTCGCGGAACTGGAAACTTAACCCACATCCTCCAACTCGGATCGACTTACGGTCGAACGCTGAGCCCCGTTATTACGCGCCCTCCAGCTCGAAGATAAAGCGTTCGATAACGAGACCCGACCGGATGGGGGCCTTTCACTCGTCGACTCGAAATTTAGACCACTGCGCGCCGCGCTCGGAGACCGACCCCGGGCCAAACAGCGACCTTATCTTCGCTCTCCGCCTAGACGCACCGACGTATCTGAAATCGGCCTGCAGGCGAACATCCGAGGGTGAAAGTCGCGGCGGAGCGCTGGAATTCGTAACGCGGAGTGCTCCGGGCCATTCGAACGAAATTTGCGTCGCGAAATGGGTCAGGGGCGGAGACCACCCTTCGTCAGGGGTGCGGCCACCGACAAATGCGATTTTCCTCAGACGAGGAGCACGCAATCCGCCACGGAGCGCGGGTTCGCTGGAACGACGCAATTCGGAGACACGGAATGCCGGAAGATTTTCATCCCCGTGGTGGCTTGCTACTTTCACCCGCGATAAAGAAGCACGCACGGTGAATAGACCGGAGCAACCCCTTTCTCGCG